GTCCGAGATAGTCCGAGCGTAGATAGTCTGAGCGTAGATAGTCCGAGATAGTCTGAGCGTAGATAGTCCGAGATAGTCCGGGCGTAGATAGTCTGAGCGTAGATAGTCTGAGCGTAGACAGTCCGAGATAGTCCGAGCGTAGATAGTCTGAGCGTAGATAGTCTGAGCGTAGATAGTCCGAGCGTAGATAGTCCGAGCGTAGATAGTCTGAGCGTAGATAGTCCGAGCGTAGATAGTCCGAGATAGTCCGAGCGTAGATAGTTTGAGCGTAGATAGTTCGAGATAGTCCGAGCGTAGATAGTCTGAGCGTAGATAGTCCGAGCGTAGATAGTCCGAGATAGTCCGAGCGTAGATAGTCTGAGCGTAGATAGTCCGAGATAGTCCGAGCGGAGATAGTCCGAGCGTAGATAGTCCGAGCGTAGATAGTCCGAGCGTAGATAGTCCGAGCGTAGATAGTCCGAGCGTAGATAGTCCGAGCGTAGATAGTCTGAGCGTAGATAGTCCGAGCGTAGATAGTCCGAGCGTAGATAGTCCGAGCGTAGATAGTCCGAGCGTAGATAGTCCGAGCGTAGATAGTCTGAGCGTAGATAGTCCGAGCGTAGATAGTCCGAGCGTAGATAGTCCGAGCGTAGATAGTCCGAGCGTAGATAGTCCGAGCGTAGACAGTCCGAGCGTAGATAGTCCGAACGTAGACAGTCCGAGAGTAGACAGTCCGAGCGTAGACAGTCCGAGCGTATAGTCTGAGCGTAGACAGTCCGAGCGTAGACAGTCCGAGCGTAGACAGTCCAAGCGTAGACAGTCCGAGCGTATAGTCCGAGCGTAGACAGTCCGAGCGTAGATAGTCCGAGCGTAGACAGTCCGAGCGTAGACAGTCCGAGCGTAGATAGTCCGAGCGTAGACAGTCCGAGCGTAGACAGTCCGAACGTAGATAGTCCGAGCGTAGACAGTCCGAGCGTAGACAGTCCGAGCGTATAGTCCGAGCGTAGACAGTCCGAGCGTAGACAGTCCGAGCGTATAGTCCGAGCGTAGACAGTCCGAGCGTAGATAGTCCGAGCGTAGATAGTCCGAGCGTAGACAGTCCGAGCGTAGACAGTCCGAGCGTATAGTCCGAGCGTAGATAGTCCGAGCGTAGATAGTCCGAGCGTATAGTCCGAGCGTAGACAGTCCGAGCGTAGACAGTCCGAGCGTAGATAGTCCGAGCGTAGACAGTCCGAGTGTAGACAGTCCGAGCGTATAGTCCGAGCGTAGATAGTCCGAGCGTAGACAGTCCGAGCGTAGACAGTCCGAGCGTAGATAGTCCGAGCGTAGATAGTCCAAGCGTAGACAGTCCGAGCGTATAGTCCGAGCGTAGATAGTCCGAGCGTAGATAGTCTGAGCGTAGATAGTCTGAGCGTAGATAGTCCGAGCGTAGACAGTCCGAGCGTATAGTCCGAGCGTAGACAGTCCGAGCGTAGATAGTCCGAGCGTAGATAGTCTGAGCGTAGACAGTCCGAGCGTAGACAGTCCGAGCGTATAGTCCGAGCGTAGATAGTCCGAGCGTAGATAGTCCGAGCGTATAGGTCCGAGCGTAGACAGTCCGAGCGTAGACAGTCCGAGCGTAGATAGTCCGAGCGTAGACAGTCCGAGTGTAGACAGTCCGAGCGTATAGTCCGAGCGTAGACAGTCCGAGCGTAGACAGTCCGAGCGTAGATAGTCCGAGCGTAGATAGTCCAAGCGTAGACAGTCCGAGCGTATAGTCCGAGCGTAGATAGTCCGAGCGTAGACAGTCCGAGCGTAGATAGTCTGAGCGTAGATAGTCTGAGCGTAGATAGTCCGAGCGTAGATAGTCCGAGCGTAGACAGTCCGAGCGTAGATAGTCCGAGCGTAGACAGTCCAAGCGTAGATAGTCCGAGCATATGTTTTGCATATGTTTGTGTGTGTGTATCTGTATATTTATATGTATATAGTAATGTATATACAGTAGTAATGTATACTATCATAAGCTACAGTATCTATCTATAACAATATCTGAACTCTGAACATTTGCTTCTATCCCTAGTTTCCACTTATTTTTTGCCCAGCGGACCACCCTCACTCAGCCAATCAGCTCTCAGCCCAAAGAGTCACATAGTGACTCACAGGGTTCTTTCTGACACAGAAGAGAACATGTTTTCTCAAAAGAGGAAGACAGTATGTTGTGGAGTATACTTTTAAAAGTTTGTCTGTAGAAAAAAAATAATTGATGATTAAAAGTACTATTTATGAAACTAAAAAGGCAGGTACCCCAGCTTTAAAATGAGGATTTACAACAACATTCTAGCTACATGTATAATCAACATCTATTATGGTGCGATGGAATAGAATGAAAAATAAATATAAAATTAAAGGTTAAAAAGTAGTCTCTAATATCTGTAGCACATTACCTTCAGCGACATGTATGTTTTATATGAATTTAAGTACAGCCTTAGACAATAGCTTTTTGAGTCGCAGTTAGTTGTGATTTAATGAAGGTTATGAAAACACATCTTGACTTTTGGTGTCTCCGGCTGTTTACAGTTAGATTGTGTCTCTTGTAAATATTCCGGTCACGTGCCTTTTTGCTCCACACCTGCTGTTTGTCCAGAAACTTTTATAAACTGGTTGTTCTTAAACTGCTGCATGCAAAGTTTGATATTGACAAAAAAGAACAGCATTGTACGCATCCGGTGCGTTTGTTCATAAACTGGATATAGTTGGACAACTTGCTCTGGATGACTTTCCTCTCGCTCAGTAACCGTAAGTCTCACACTCATCATTCTGAGCTTAAAAATTTCCCGGTTTATCAATCTGTGATCCTGGTGTTTCTATTTTGATAATCATAACGATCGACTAATCAGATGCCTTCATTTTCGGGGAATCTCCAGCTTGCCATAGCAATCATGCTAGCAACACATCTGCCCATGTTACTGCGCAAAGCTCACACTATTAGAACGGATCAGAACAAATGCATAAAGAAGGAAATTGGCTCCAGCTAGCTTATGTTAAAATTGGCTTTCAGCATTTAAGCTAACACTGGTGATGTCACACTCGGCCCGTCCACTGCGGCACGGTGGCTGAGTGGATAGCATTCTCGCCTCTCAGCAAGAAGGTCCTGGGTTCGAATCCCGGTCGGAACAGGGCCTTTCCGAGTGGAGTTTGCATGTTCTCCCCGTGCCTGCGTAGGTTTCCTCCAGGTACTCCGGTTTCCCCTACCACTAAAAACATGCACACTAGGTTTAAATCCTCCAGCTCTGGTCCTGACCAAGCCGAGCATCAACATCTGGAGATGGGTTCCCGGGCGCTGTTACTACGGCGACCACTGCTCCTGACGTGAGCCTTCGCGGCATCAGGATGGGTCAAATGCAGAGGATGAATTGATCTACGGCGGCCATTCCCAAAGTCAGTAAAAATCTGACGGGTCTGCGCGGCCCCTTGAAATAATAACTTTGAAGACAACGTTAAAAATAGGCTCTTCTCGCTATTTTCATTCATTCATTCATTCATGTGGGGGAAAAGCCTCTGCTACAAACATGTAAATGACGCAACCCATTTTGTAATACCTTGCAATACCCTCGCGGGCCCCACGTTGGGAGACACTGCCCTACGGGGATTAAAAAGTGCACCTTTACCTTTACCTTTACTGCTGTAGTCTCCAGATCATGTCTGTAGGGCCATAAAACTGGATAATACTAATAATAATTGTTTGGGTGAATGTAGCTCAAGGACAGCGCTGGTATTTGTGTTAGCCATAACAGGGATAAGACCATGTGTGCTCAAGACACACCACCAGAACTCAGTGAAACTCAGTCAGATCCGCAAACATGGAGAAACTATTGGAAAAACGCAGACTTATCCACGACATCTGCTTTCGCCTGGGCATAAAGCAGCAACTTACAACTCACTGCTCTAGCTCCAGAAATGGCAAGTTATTCTGTCTTTAGTATCTGTATTTCTACTTCCAACCTTTGACTTTCATCTTGCTTTTAAACCCCCATATCCAGACTTTCTACTGCTTATTTTTGCAATCCTGTGTTTTTATTAACCCTGATGGAATGAATTAAGTAGTCTGGATCTGATTCTTGCCGCGCTTTCATGTTCAGACAACCATTCTATGTTTTTTCATGTGTCAGATTCACAGATGAACCTGGCGGACGGCTGGTTTTAAAAAATATAAAAAATCAAGGATGAAAATAAAACATTGGGTGCTGCTAATGGGCTAGATGGCAACATAGACTGTGAATAGATAGACAATGCTAACCCGCTAGCTAGCTCATTGAATAATAATAATAATAATACATCAAACTTGTATAGCGCTTTTTTGGACACTCAAAGACGCTTCTCATGGGGAAAAGCTTGTTTGGAAAGATGGGTTTTGAGACTGATTTAAAGCTTGGTTGTGAGCCAGAGTTTCTAATGGGCAGCGGGAGCAATGGCTTTGCGGCAATGGCAAAGGCTCTGTGCCCCAAGGTCCGGCGGTTAGTGCGGGTGATGGGGGTGAGGAGGTGGGTATCGGCTGAGCGAAGGCCGCGGGTGGGTCGGTGCTGCTGTAGGAGCTCCGTAAGGTAGGGGGCGGGGCCAGGTGATGGAGGGACTTGTAGGTGAGGAGGAGGAGGAGCTTGTACTGGATGCGGTATTGAACGGGGAGCCAGTGGAGCTGCTGGAGGACAGGGGTGATGTGTTCTCTGGACCGGGGGTGGGTGAGGAGGCGGGCTGCAGAGTTCTGGGTGTATTGCAGTTTTTGAAGCGCAATTGAGAAGTGCTCATGGTGAAGTTTTGCTCCTATTGACTTAAATTGAAGTGAACTCCCACCCTTTGGACTTAAGAATCTTTGGTTTAGCGCTCTCTTTGGTCCAGTGTGTATATATATTTTACTTAAGTCGGGACATGTACCAAAGTATGAGCAGAATCGACTTATGTTTTCTGTTCTTTCTTTGTAGTTTCCTGCAGAGATTTAGGACTGACCGGTTTGTAATTGTACATTTTCTTTTTTCTTATTTCTGCAGAATTCGAGTGGAGTTTTAACCAGGACTTTCTGGTGAAGCAAGAGGAGCCAGACCTGAACCAGTCCATGGAGGCCGAGAGCTCAGAGGACCTACAGAGCAGTGGGGCACTTTGGGAACATTCGGTGAGAGCTTTGTTGCAGTTGAAGCTAGTTTTATTGCACTTTTTAAAGGAGCTATACCTGTTTCTGTAAGGTTTGAATGTTTAGCCCCGCCCCCAACTCTCTCACAGGCTTCTCATGTCCACTACGCTCTCATTCCACGGAGCCATCTAGTTTTATTTGTGATCTATATGCTAACATTAGCATTAGCGCAACTTCTTGTAAGCTGTGCAACAATCACTGATGGAATGGTACAAAAGCAACGCACTGCTAACAAAGTATATAACTGAAAGATTACCGCTAGTTTCACGTCAAAATGTGGTCAGAGCGTAGATAGTCCGAGCGTAGATAGTCCGAGCGTAGATAGTCCGAGCGCAGATAGTCCGAGCGTAGATAGTCCGAGCGTAGATAGTCCGAGCGTAGATAGTCCGAGCGCAGATAGTCCGAGCGTAGATAGTCCAGCGTAGATAGTCCGAGCGTAGATAGTCCGAGCGCAGATAGTCCGAGCGTAGATAGTCCAGCGTAGATAGTCCGAGCGTAGATAGTCCGAGCGTAGATGGTCCGAGCGTAGACAGTCCGAGCGTAGATAGTCCAAGCGTAGATAGTCCGAGCGCAGATAGTCCGAGCGCAGATAGTCCGAGCGTAGATAGTCAGAGCGTAGATAGTCCGAGCGTAGATAGTCCGAGCGCAGATAGTCCGAGCGTAGATAGTCCGAGCGTAGATAGTCCGAGCGCAGATAGTCCGAGCGTAGATAGTCCGAGCGTAGATAGTCCGAGCGCAGATAGTCCAGCGTAGATAGTCCGAGCGTAGATAGTCCGAGCGTAGATAGTCCGAGCGCAGATAGTCCGAGCGTAGATAGTCCAGCGTAGATAGTCCGAGCGTAGATAGTCCGAGCGCAGATAGTCCGAGCGTAGATAGTCCAGCGTAGATAGTCCGAGCGTAGATAGTCCGAGCGTAGATGGTCCGAGCGTAGACAGTCCGAGCGTAGATAGTCCAAGCGTAGATAGTCCGAGCGCAGATAGTCCGAGCGCAGATAGTCCAAGCGTAGATAGTCCGAGCGTAGATAGTCCAAGCGTAGATAGTCCGAGCGTAGATAGTCCGAGCGTAGATAGTCCGAGCGTAGATAGTCCGAGCGTAGATAGTCCGAGCGCAGATAGTCTGAGCGTAGATAGTCCGAGCGTAGATAGTCCGAGCGCAGATAGTCCGAGCGTAGATAGTCCGAGCGTAGATAGTCTGAGCGTAGATAGTCCGAGCGCAGATAGTCCGAGCGTAGATAGTCCGAGCGTAGATAGTCCGAGCGTAGATAGTCCGAGCGCAGATAGTCCGAGCGTAGATAGTCCGAGCGTAGATAGTCCGAGCGTAGATAGTCCGAGCGTAGATAGTCCAAGCGTAGATAGTCTGAGCGCAGATAGTCCGAGCGTAGATAGTCCGAGCGTAGATAGTCCGAGGCGGTCCCGCAGGTCTCTCCCATAGACCAGTCTCTCCAGAGGATACGATGTAAGCTAGCTCTGTTCAGGGCTTGGTTTCTTCTTTGATCATGTTGTGGCTGTAGCTCCCTCTTCTCTTGGGATGGATGGATGTTTGTAGTAATAAGCATTTTTATGAACTCATAAAAATAAAAAAATGGGGTATAGCTTCTTTAAAGGGTCGAAGGAGAAATTGAGTGTTTACTGTTGTATGATCTGGACATTTGTCATCTCAATATCTGTATATTCTTTTCTGTTTAGGAACACAGCGCAGAAGATGTTAAACCATTATCAATTAAAGATGAGCCCAGAGAAATGCAGCAGTATCTCAGTATGAGCAGTGGTGAGTGTGAGGCTGTAGACCCAGGACTGAGGCTGTAGACCCAGGACTGAGGTTGTAGACCCAGGACTGAGGCTGTAGACCCAGGACTGAGGTTGTAGACCCAGGACTGCGGCTGTAGACCCAGGACTGAGGCTGTAGACCCAGGACTGAGGCTGTAGACCCAGGACTGAGGTTGTAGATCCCAGGACTGAGGCTGTAGACCCAGGACTGAGGCTGTAGATCCAGGACTGAGGCTGTAGACCCAGGACTGAGGCTGTAGATCCAGGACTGAGGCTGTAGACCCAGGACTGAGGTTGTAGACCCAGGACTGAGGTTGTAGACCCAGGACCGAGGCTGTAGACCCAGGACTGAGGCTGTAGACCCAGGACTGAGGTTGTAGACCCAGGACTGCGGCTGTAGACCCAGGACTGAGGCTGTAGACCCAGGACTGAGGCTGTAGACCCAGGACTGAGGTTGTAGACCCAGGACTGAGGCTGTAGACCCAGGACTGAGGCTGTAGATCCAGGACTGAGGCTGTAGACCCAGGACTGAGGCTGTAGATCCAGGACTGAGGCTGTAGACCCAGGACTGAGGCTGTAGACCCAGGACTGAGACTGTAGATCCAGGACTGAGGCTGTAGACCCAGGACTGAGACTGTAGATCCAGGACTGAGGCTGTAGACCCAGGATCCAGGACTGAGGCTGTAGACCCAGGATCCAGGACTGAGGCTGTAGATCCAGGACTGAGGCTGTAGACCCAGGACTGAGGCTGTAGACCCAGGACTGAGGCTGTAGACCCAGGACTGAGGCTGTAGATCCAGGACTGAGACTGTAGACCCAGGATCCAGGACTGAGGCTGTAGACCCAGGACTGAGGCTGTAGACCCAGGACCAGGACTGAGGCTGTAGACCCAGGACTGAGGCTGTAGAAAGAACACACTCTCTGTCTCCTTTCATAGACACATGTTATGGTCCATTAGTATCATGGATCCAGGTCTAAACTTGTCTTTCGTCGTTCCGATCAGACGAGTCGCTGCAGATGCCCCCGACCCCCCCGAGCAGTAACCACGGCGACAGTGATGGGTCCTTGCCGCCTTCCTCGCCCCCCCCTCAGAGAACAGGGCGAGCGACGGGAACCTCAGCTGCCATCTCCACCTCGCCCCTGCTCACGGCTCCACACGTGAGTACAGACAAACACTCCAATGTCACTGAGATCTAGTTCTAGACCTGGTTTAGTCCTAGTTTAGACCTGGTTAGTCCAAATCTGGTTAAAAATGGTTTTGTAGCGTCTTGGTGTAGACCTGGTTTAGGCTGGGTTCAGACTTGGTGTAGACCTGGTTTAGGCTGGGTTCAGACTTGGTGTAGACCTGGTTTAGGCTGGGTTCAGACTTGGTGTAGACCTGATTTAGGCTGGGTTCAGACTTGGTGTAGACCTGGTTTAGGCTGGGTTCAGACTTGGTGTAGACCTGGTTTAGGCTGGGTTCAGACTTGGTGTAGACCTGGTTTAGGCTGGGTTCAGACTTGGTGTAGACCTGGTTTAGTCCTTGTTTAGACCAAGTTTTGGACTTGGTTTGTACCTGGTTCAGTCCTGATTTTAGTTCTGATTTTAGTCCTGATTTTAGTCCTGGTTCAGTCCTGGTTCAGCCCTGGTTTAGACCTGGTTCAGTCCTGTTTTAGACCTGGTTCAGCCCTGGTTTAGACCTGGTTTAGTTGATCTTAAAATGTGCCAAAAAACACATGGAAATTAGTGACAGAAGCAAAAAACTTTTAACATATTTTCTTTTGTGTGGTCTAAAAGTCAGGTACACCAGCTTTAAGTGAACGTATAAATGTCGTGTAGCATTTACCTAAACTAAATTAAACTAAATTAAACTAAATTAAAGTTTCCAGATAAAACCCAATTTAATTCAGAGTTAAAAAGTTAGCGTCACATTTTTCAGACACTTCTTGAAGCGTGGTCACGTTCGGGCCTCGCCTCCTCAGGCTATAATCAGGACCTCTGTAATTTCGTGACTCATCTCGACTAAAGTCTTTGTTTCAAGTTAAACTCTATTAAAAAAAACAAAAAAAAACTACCCCCCCCCCCCCCGTTGTCATGGAAACGGAATGAATGAAATCAGCTTCTGAAATGGTTTGAAAAGTCCTGTAATTAGTGAAAGTGATGCTGGTGTTTTAATGTAGAGATGAACGGTGCAGTCTAGACATAATGTGGGTTAGATAAAGTTTGTGTTCAGACCTGCTTTTGTCCCGGGCCAGACCTGGTTAAGTCCTGGTTTAGTCCTGTTTTCGTTCTGCTTTTTTTTCCTGCTTTAGACTAGATGTGGTCCTCTGTTAGACCTGGTTTAGACCTGGTTTGAGTCTGGTTTAGTCCGGTTTTTGTCTGGTTTGGATTTAGATATGGTTAGGGTTAGTCCTGGTTTAGTCCTCTTGTAGACCTTGTTTATACCTGGTTTAGTCCTGGTTTAGTTCCGGTTTTGTCCTGGTTTAGACCTGGTTTAGACTTAGTTTAGTCCTGATTTAGTCCTGTTTTCCTCCTGGTCTACTTCTGGTTGGGATTTAGATATGGTTAGGGTTAGTCCTGGTTTAGTCCTCTTGTAGACCTTGTTTATACCTGGTTTAGTCCTGGTTTAGTCCTCTTGTAGACCTTGTTTATACCTAGTTTAGTCCTGGTTTTGTCCTTGTTCAGTCCTGGTTTAGTCCTCTTGTAGACTCACTGCTTGTTTAGTCCTGGCTTAGACCTGGTTTAGTCCTAGCTGTGCCAAAATTGTACCTGTGTTTGAGTATATATTTTATCTGTGTTTGAGTATATATTTTACTTGTGTTTGAGTATATATTTTACCTGTGTTTGAGTATATATTTTACCTGTGTTTGAGTATGTATTTTATTTGTGTTTGAGTATATATTTTACCTGTGTTTGAGTATATATTGTATCTGTGTTTGAGTATATATTGTATCTGTGTTTGAGTATATATTTTATCTGTGTTTGAGTATGTATTTTATCTGTGTTTGACGTGTGTCCAGAAGCTGCAGGGGTCCGGTCCTCTGATGCTGACGGAGGAGGAGAAGAGGACCCTGGTGGCCGAGGGGTATCCAGTCCCCGTCAAACTGCCCCTGAGCAAGAGCGAAGAGAAAGCACTGAAACGAGTCCGGCGCAAGATCAAGAATAAGGTTTGTGTGAAGACCTGGTTAAGTCCTGGTTTAGACCTGATTTAGACCTGGTTTATACCTGTTTATTCCTGGTTTAGACCGGGTCAGCACGGGTCAAAGGTGTGTTTATTAACATGCACTCTCCCAACCAAAGAAACAATCAATGAATAAATGTTTTCCTGGTTTGATACTCATTTAGACCTGGTTTGATACTCATTTAGACCTGGTTTAGACCTGGTTTGATACTCATTTAGACCCAGTTTAGACCTGGTTTGATACTCATTTAGACCTGGTTTAGACCTGGTTTGATACTCATTTAGACCTGGTTTAGACCTGGTTTGATACTCATTTAGACCCAGTTTAGACCTGGTTTGATACTCATTTAGACCTGGTTTAGACCTGGTTTGATACTCATTTAGACCTGGTTTAGACCTGGTTTGATACTCATTTAGACCCAGTTTAGACCTGGTTTGATACTCATTTAGACCCAGGTTTAGACCTGGTTTGATACTCATTTAGACCTGGTTTAGACCTGGTTTGATACTCATTTAGACCTGGTTTAGACCTGGTTTGATACTCATTTAGACCCCAGTTTAGACCTGGTTTGATACTCATTTAGACCTGGTTTAGACCTGGTTTGATACTCATTTAGACCTGGTTTAGACCTGGTTTGATACTCATTTAGACCTGGTTTAGACCTGGTTTGATACTCATTTAGACCTGGTTTAGACCTGGTTTGATACTCATTTAGACCCAGTTTAGACCTGGTTTGATACTCATTTAGACCTGGTTTAGACCTGGTTTGATACTCATTTAGACCTGGTTTAGACCTGGTTTGATACTCATTTAGACCCAGTTTAGACCTGGTTTGATACTCATTTAGACCTGGTTTAGACCTGGTTTGATACTCATTTAGACCTGGTTTAGACCTGGTTTGATACTCATTTAGACCCAGGTTTAGACCTGGTTTGATACTCATTTAGACCTGGTTTAGACCTGGTTTGATACTCATTTAGACCTGGTTTAGACCTGGTTTGATACTCATTTAGACCTGGTTTAGACCTGGTTTGATACTCATTTAGACCCAGTTTAGACCTGGTTTGATACTCATTTAGACCTGGTTTAGACCTGGTTTGATACTCATTTAGACCTGGTTTAGACCTGGTTTGATACTCATTTAGACCTGGTTTAGACCTGGTTTGATACTCATTTAGACCTGGTTTAGACCTGGTTTGATACTCATTTAGACCCAGTTTAGACCTGGTTTGATACTCATTTAGACCTGGTTTAGACCTGGTTTGATACTCATTTAGACCTGGTTTAGACCTGGTTTGATACTCATTTAGACCCAGTTTAGACCTGGTTTGATACTCATTTAGACCTGGTTTAGACCTGGTTTGATACTCATTTAGACCTGGTTTAGACCTGGTTTGATACTCATTTAGACCTGGTTTAGACCTGGTTTGATACTCATTTAGACCCAGTTTAGACCTGGTTTGATACTCATTTAGACCTGGTTTAGACCTGGTTTGATACTCATTTAGACCTGGTTTAGACCTGGTTTGATACTCATTTAGACCTGGTTTAGACCTGGTTTGATACTCATTTAGACCCAGTTTAGACCTGGTTTGATACTCATTTAGACCTGGTTTAGACCTGGTTTGATACTCATTTAGACCCGGTTTAGACCTGGTTTAGACCTGGTTTGATACTCATTTAGACCCAGTTTAGACCTGGTTTGATACTCATTTAGACCTGGTTTAGACCTGGTTTGATAATCATTTAGACCTGGTTTGATACTCATTTAGACCTGGTTTAGACCTGGTTTGATACTCATTTAGACCCAGTTTAGACCTGGTTTGATACTCATTTAGACCTGGTTTAGACCTGGTTTGATACTCATTTAGACCCGGTTTAGACCTGGTTTAGACCTGGTTTGATACTCATTTAGACCTGGTTTGATACTCATTTAGACCCAGTTTAGACCTGGTTTGATACTCATTTAGACCTGGTTTAAACCTGGTTTGATACTCATTTAGACCTGGTTTAGACCTGGTTTGATACTCATTTAGACCTGGTTTAGACCTGGTTTGATACTCATTTAGACCTGGTTTAGACCTGGTTCGATACTCATTTAGACCTGGTTTTATACTCATTTAGACCTGGTTTGATACTCATTTAGACCTGGTTTGATACTCATTTAGACCCAGTTTAGAACTGGTTTGATACTCATTTAGACCTGGTTTGATACTCATTTAGACCCGGTTTAGACCTGGTTTGATACTCATTTAGACCCGGTTTAGACCTGGTTTGATACTCATTTAGATCCGGTTTAGACCTGGTTTGATACTCATTTAGACCCGGTTTAGACCTGGTTTGATACTCATTTAGACCCGGTTTAGTCATTATTCAGTCCTGGTTTAGTCCTACTTCTGATCCTGGCTAAATATGATCCTGGTTAAGTCTGGGGGTTTCAGTGGTTTGGACCTGGTTTAGTCCTGGTTCCTGCCTCTCTTTGGTCCACTTGGTTTAATCTTGGTCTTAGAATTGTTGTGCATTGACTTTTGTCCTGTTTAGTCCCAACGTTAACTTTGACTCTAGTCTCAAATGTGAACATACTCGGCTCCAGTCTGGTCCTGTTTAGTCCGCTTGCTCTGGCCTCGCATTTCACAGTTTAAACAAAGAACTAGAGATTCAGTTTCATTTTGCCTTTAATTATTTCACAAATGAGTAAAGCTTCAGTTAAAGTATCTGGACTTTAAAAGGTTATAACTCAAAAACTAAAATTACTTTCATAGATTGGAAAAAAGGTTTCAAACACAGACACATTGAAGAGATAGTGTGGATAAAATCAAAAGGAAAGATTGACAAATATATTTTTAGCAACATTTTAAACGACAAAATCTGCCTCTGATTGGACCGTTCTACTGTGACGCCGTTTACAGAGAAAATAAAATGTCCTCAGTCTGAAAAAGCAGCAGATGAAATCCCACAAGATTAACATTAACACAACATCAGTAAATAGCTTGATATAAAAAAAAAATAAAAAAAAATAAATTAAATGACCCTTGATAAATTGAGAACAAAAAAATGTGGTCTGGTTTCACATTCACATTTGTTAACTATATGAAAGTATCACTTTGTTTCTACTCTGTGTAAAAAAAAATATAATCTCTGAATCAAATGTGGATCTGAAAATACGCAGATCTGAAACTTCTGCAGCTCATTCCGTCAAATCATCATCGTTACATAAAATAAACAGAGCCGCTTCAGGAAACTTGTCTAATGCATAAAACTGTTATGTTCTAGAAACTTCTACTGGACACAGGAGGGATTTGAACACATGAAAAACATAAAATATCTTCTTATTTAATTATTAGAGTCTGCCTTTTGTCACACTTTTGTGGCCTTTAGTGTGAACAAGTCCAATTACATGAGTGTAGATAAATGATAATAATTATATGAACATGAATAATAATGATGATAATAATGATAATAATGATAATAATGATAATAATGATAATAATGATAATGATAATAATGATAATAATGATAATGATGATAATAATGATAATAATGATAATAATGATAATAATGATAATAATAATGATAATAATGATAATAATGATGATAATAATGATAATAATGATAATAATAATGATAATAATGATAATAATGATGATAATAATGATAATAGAGAAAGTGGTGTTTTGTTCCAGATCTCTGCTCAGGAAAGTCGGAGGAAGAAGAAGGAGTACGTTGAATGTCTGGAGAAAAAGTGAGTTTTTGGTTTTTACATTAACCCCCCCCCCATAACATCTCGGACTGTTTCTGAGATCCTGTTTTTGCCCTTTCAAATCAAACGCTGAGCACCTGTAGACGTCAGCGGGGGTTGATTGTCAATATAAATCAAAATATACACATTCTACATATTATTATTATTCAGTATTAGATCCAACATTGTGTAAGTAATTTATGTCGACAAATTCCCAAAGCTAATTCAAGAGCGATGCATGAGTCCTGTATTGTTGTGAGGACTCTTTAAAGCTGGGCTACCTAACTTTTTTACAGGTGTATAGAAGGATTTATCTGAATTTTAGGAAAGAACCGTCCCCTCCACTTTTTGAAATCACTCACACAAACTCACTTTCCAACATTAGCACTTTTTGCTCTGTCAGACGATAAAGACGTAGATAACTTTTACTGGAAGTGTTTTGAAATTCCAAATAGAATCCAAGCTTTACCTGTGGAGAAGGAACTCGGCGACGTCAGTGGAACCTTTCAGCACCTTCCAGTGAAAGAATCTCCTAAAACACTTTGTTTGACGACGGCCTCTGGTCACACATCACCAGAGATAGCTGTGAACCAATCAGACTGCAACACACCCTGGTTTGGACCTAGCCTGGTCGTACCACACCATAGTACAGATTACATTTCATACTAAGGTCTGGATTTGCTCCATTGACTCCGTGAACAGGTGGGAGGGGTTAACTCCTTTTGCAGATTGAAACCATTGGATCTGAGTTTACCGTATGTAATGAGCCCGAGTCTTTTGTTAGCATTTAGCATTTAGCCTAGCTTTAGCCATCTCCTTTGCCGCTAACGGAGCCCGTGGGGAGTAGCACCACATTTTTTTCTAGCGATTACATTTGCTAAACATTCCTCTTGCTCCTGCTTCAATTTCTTGATAGAACCAGACCGGAATACTTTACTATCGCATTCTTCGCCAAACTACAACCTTCCCGTTCGACGCAGACTCTTGACGTCACCCACAACTAACTACAACACCCGCCTCCCGCGCTCTCTGATTGGTCGGTCGATATTCAACCGATTGTAATCTCTAACACAGGGACCAGACCCAGACGTTACATGCAGTGAAAGGATGATTGAGCGAAGTGTACGGTGGATAAGGCCAGGCTAGGTTGGACCTGGTTTGGACCTGGTTTGGACCTGGTTAGGACCTGGTTAGGACCTGGTTAGGACCTGGTT